TTGCCATTTTCTCTGACCCCAATTATCAGGAGCCATAGGTTTTTTCTTTTATCTCTTCTCTTTTCTCTTCTCTTCTCTTCTCTTTTTTCTTTTCTTTTCCTTCCCTTTCCTTTCCTTTCCTTCCCTTTCCTTTCCTTTTTTTCCCCTTCCCTTCCCTTTTCTTCTTTTCTCTTTTCTTTTCTTTTCTTTTCTTTTCTTTTCTTTCTTCCTCATATCTCCAGAGAAGGCTCTTCCAATTTCTTAGCTGTTGATATATAAACCTATTTGTCTGTGTTCTGGTAAGTAAGTGGTAAAGTGAACCAGAAGGTCTCACTTTTTAAGATACAGATTTTCATTCCAGCCTTATCCCCTATTCTGTTGTTCTGTATCCTCAGGTCCAAAGCCCCTCACATTCAGTTTTTCTAGAGTGTAAATCTTTGGTATCCTGCCAGAATGGTGACTGAGGTTTGCTTAGGGGTTTGGGAGGGCATCTGAGGATCTATCTGGTCCTTTTACAATCATTCAAACAATCCTATTTTCAGATCTACTCTTCTCTCTTTCAGAAGAATCTGGTGTCTTGAATTCCTGAGCCTTTCCAGTGTTGTGTCACATAACTGGATTTGCTGCTTTTAGGGTTCTACCCTACTTCCCCAATCCCCACAGGCATTAGGTTTCAACATCTTGCAGTCTACGAATTACTTCCTAATTATTTTCCAAAATTCAGTCAACATGTCTTTCAGCTGGTGTCAACTCCTTCCTCTCCTATTCTTTTTTCCCTATGGATGTATTCACTTTTAATTAATTTACTGTCATTTTAGTGCTGTTTTGGGATGAATCATAGATAAAAATCTGTATTCAATTCTCCATGTTTAATTAACCAAGAGCATTCCTTTTTATTTTTTAATGTCTTTGAGTTTTATTAGATTGCTAGAGGAACTGATAGAATTTAAAACTTCTATCCCTTTGTTTTCATTATTGATAATCTTAAGACAACAAAAATATTGAACACTCTGTACTGGTTTTCCTTTGGTACTTGTATGTAATTTTTTTTTCTTCTTCTTCTTCTCCTTCTCCTCCTTCTCTTCTTCCTTCTCTTTTGGATTTACCACATTCTTCTTCTGGATTACAACAAGCCCCCCAATAGTGGGGACAGGCCGCACAGTCTTGACAGGACACACACAAAGCTAGCAGGAAGGAAAACTGGCAGCAAGAAGCATGTGATCTATTTTAACCTGGGTTTATTATTATTATTATTATTTAATTTTTAATTTTTTTAATTTTTTTTAATTTTTAAAATTTTTTCTTTTTTAAAATTTTATTATTATTATTATTATTATTATTATTTTAAATCTGGGTTTAAATGATGTTCTGTTCTCTAACATGTTATGTTTCTTTTCTGACTTCTTCTTTTAAAAAAAAAATTCCAATTTTTTTTATGTGTGTCTTCTCCATATGAAGAATTTTCACAGGCCCTCTTTCCTCATTCACATTTCCCATACAGTTTTGCTTTCTGTTTTCTCTTCTTATTTACCTGCACCTTTTGTTGCTTGACCTTCTTGACCCCTGTTGTCTCCGTGGATGCTCTACAATAATCCCTACTCCATACAGGAATGCCTGTTTGCCCTTTAGAGGCTCTGGCTTTCCTCCTATCCTTGAGAATGTTCTTCATACAATGAAAAGCAAAGTCCATCCATCTTTGCCTCTTGAAAGAGAACAGGGCTTTCCTACCCTTAATCAGCTTCCTTATTAGACCATTAATTTACCTTTATTCTACTGAGAATTTGCTCTTCACCTACATGTGGCTCTATTTCTCTAGAACCTGAGAAATTTCAAGTGTCTGGAATGTATGATCAAAATAATAGTGTTATTACTTTACATGGTACAATCTCTATTCTTTCTGACTCATAAATCCTATTACTTTTTCTGTCTCATTTCCTCTTTTTATAAGAATATTCTGGACTTTGGCATGCTTAACCAGAGAAGCAGCCTTAATTATTTACTTTTACAGTTTAATGGTAATTATTTAACTTCTAATGGAAAATCTAATCTACCTCCCTTCATCCCACCCCAGCTAAAAGAAATCTGTCCCCAGGCATGTCTTTAGGTAACTTTACTTTTGGAATGATCCCTTTCTATTTCCCAGTAATGATCAATGATTGTTTATATGCCAACCCCATGGCTTGTATATTTCAAAAGTGTGCATTTGAAAAAAACAAAACTCCATCTCTAAGTGGCTTCCTTTTATAGCTAATGAGCAGGAAGGCCTTCACACGTAGCTCCTTCTGTCTGAAAAATAAATTCACTCTCCACTTGTAATCTAGTTTCTCTTGCCAAAGTTACCTCCAGAGGCCCTGAGATTGGCAGCCTCTAGAATGGCCCCAGTCTATCGCCACCCTCTTGGGTATTCACCCCCTTGTGCAATCCGTCTGCTTTGAATGAGGGCTGGACTTATTAACTCACTTATTATAATGAATAGAATTTAGCAGAAGCATTGGGATGTCACTTCCGAGATTAGGTTAAAGACTGTGTCTTCTATCTCAGTCTTGCTAACTTGCTTGCTCTGAAGGAAGCAAGCTGCCATGTGTAAGTTGTTCTATGGAGAAGTCCTTGCTGCAAGGGATTGAGGGAGTCCTCTGACCAATAGCCAGCAAGGTGTTAAGGCTTTCAGCCCAGCAGCCATAATAAAGTAAATCCTGCTAACAACCACAAAGTGAGCCTGGAAACAAATCCTCCTCTAGTTGAGCCTTCAGACAAAACCGTACTCCTGACCCCTCACAAGAAGTCTTAAGCCAGAGGTACCCGGCTAAGCCACATTCAGATCCTGACCCACAGAAACTATGAGAGTAGATGTTTGTTGTTTGAAGCCACTAAATTTGAGGATAATTTATTGTGCAATAAGGGATAACCAATACAGGTCCTTAAGGCTAATATTGAAGACTTTAGTCTATGCTTTTTATATATTAGTTTTTGTTTAGGTCATTCTATCCTCTGGATGTCAATTTAATTTTTTTTTTTTTTTTGAGATGTAGTGGGGAGAGAACAGAGAGAAAGGGAGAGAGAATCTTAAGCAAGCTCCACACTCAACACAGAGCCTGATATGGGGCTTGATCTCATGGCTCTGATATCATGACCTGAGCTGAAACTAAGTGTTGGACGCTTAACCAACTGAGCTACCCAGATGCCTCTGGATATATTTTATCAATTTAATTACTCATATAAGATTGTCTTTTTTTAAAAAAATTTTAAAAATTATTTATTTATGATAGTCACAGAGAGAGAGAGAGAGAGAGGCAGAGACACAGGCAGAGGGAGAAGCAGGCTCCATGCACCGGGAGCCCGACGTGGGATTCGATCCCGGGTCTCCAGGATCGCGCCCTGGGCCAAAGGCAGGCGCCAAACCGCTGCGCCACCCAGGGATCCCCTAGATTGTCTTTAAATTCTTCTTTGAGAGCAGGAAATGGTCAGTCTTGTTCAGTCTTGTTCATAATTATACAGATAGGGCCTAGCATAATGTCTGACCCATAGACAGATGCTCAGTATATAATAACTGGATTCAACCCTTCTATCTTTTTCTACTTGTTCTAGTTTATAGGTTACTTCTTACTTTCTGTATTGCCATTTCTTTGGTGACATAAGCATTAGAAAGACCTGCTGGTCTAATTGCCTTTAACCTGCCATCCCTTCTCTACAGTTTTACCACTCCTGCCTCATTTGAAGCAAATCTGCATTGCCTCTCTCTTTCTTAGGGTTTCTTCAGCAGAACTAAGTCCATGTGCGCTCTCCTTTCCCACTCCTGCCTGGCCTATGAAGCAGGTCCCTTTATCAGGAAGGCTGTGCTGCTGTGTGCCAGCAGGAGACACTCAATGAGCTGACCCCCTTAACACCTAGAGAGGTAAGTAGTATATTTACTGTTATTTAAAAGTGAAAGAAAGAAAGAAAGAAAGAAAGAAAGAAAGAAAGAAAGAAAGAAAGAAAGAAAGAAAGCCTAGAGATGTTGAGTGCTAAGCCGGAATTTATTTATTTATTTATTTATTTATTTATTTATTTATTTATTTATTATTTATTCATTCATTCATTCATTCTCTTTGAAATTTAGAAGCAGAATCACTAAAATTCAGGTTTCCCAAAACAGGGAACATCATATCATGGAGACCTAAATGCCTTAGCAGTTAAGAAATGAGACTTTTTTAGGAAAAAAAATTCAAATCAAAATAAGTCTTTTCCAGTTTAGATAAAAAAGATTGCTGAAATAATCATGCATACATAAGAAAGAAGACCAACACATATAAATTACCCTATAGTCTAGGTTGATGGAAATATAAAGCCCTAAAGAGAAATTACTTTAAAAATATATTTTCCAGGGCCACCTGGGTGACCCAGTAGGTTAAACATCTGACTCCCACTCAGGTCAGGATCTCCAGGTACTGGGATGGAGCCCTGCATCAGGCTCTGCACTCAGCAGGGAGTCTGCTTGTCCCTCTGCCTTTCTCTTCCCTTCCCCCTGCTCATGCTTTCTCTCTCTCAAATAAATAAGTCAAAATCTTTAAAAAAATAAATAAAATAAAATGGATTGTTTTTATTTTCCGATTATTATTCAGAAAATTATTTTCCGAAATTAAGTGGCAAGTGCTCTAAAAGTTTATTTGGCAAAGATTTAATGTCAAAACAAGTAAGAAATAAATATACAAAGGTTCCTAGTCTTAGAAGTTTTAAATGGTCATTTGCAACATAGTAGAACAGGGTGCCCAGGAAACCGCAGAGATTATGTAGTGCAATGAGTTCATTTTATAGAAAAGGAAGCCAGATGCTTCTAGATCTGGCTTTATTTCTAGAAGAACGGAGAGGTTAAGTGACTGCCTAGTTAAGAACAGAACAAGGATGGAATTCCAAGTCCTTGACTAAAAGTCCCCGACTCTACATGACACCAAGCTGCCTTTCATGGTTTTGTTTGCGGGTCTATTTTTTTGAAAGAATGTGTGCTCTTTTCACTAATTGCGATGGCACCATCAGCTGCTTCCTACCTGTTCCTGGGACTGGTTAAACTGCTGTATCAGTTGTGTTTGTGCCAGCATTACTCTTTCTAGCTCGTCCGACTTCTGCTTCATTTCCTTCCTGAAGTCCTCTGACACAGAATCATTACTATCAATTTCCTTCTTCAAACGGGATTCAAAGTCTGCAACCAGATTTTTAAGGTTTTCGATTTCTCTCTCCTTCGACTCAGAATCTTCAGTATATCGGATATAAGATTCATGGAGTTTTTCTTCAAGGGTGGCTACTTCTAGCCTTAGAGCTCTAGTAGCGCCTGCGATTAAGTCAGGTATCTGTAAGATAAAGTTTGAATTAGTTTGTAGGCAATATCTCTAGGTAACCACAGAGTTCTTAAGGTTCTAAGAAGTTTATTCTAAATAATCAGTATTCTCTTCCAACCAGATGAAAACAAATCCTATGACATTATACAGGCCTCCAAGATCTTCTTTTTTAAAAGTTAAAGTGTATTTTTACTATGTAAAATAGAATTGCATATTAATCACTTGAGCATCCTTGGAAATATACAAATCTCTGTGTCTAGACTGAGCTACCAAGGACAGCTCAAGTTTTGATCCAAGGACCTGTTTGGATTCAGTATGTGGTGGCTTTGGGACCTAGAAATGCCTGATGTTTGGGGATGCACGTAGGGGCGCACCACAGTTATAGTCTACTCACACCATAGCAATGAGTTTTCCTCTGATTTATTTTTTTCTTTCTTATATATGATGACTGGAGGTACTCCAGGTACTATACCTTCTAAAGCAGTACTGCCCAACAGAACTTTCTGTGATGATATTCTGTGATGTCCAATATGGTAGCCACTAGCCACATGTGCCTACTGACAGTAGTATGTCAGTGCATGTTTAGCAACTGACTCACATAAACACAAAGCCAGATTTGTATCTAGTCTCCATGGTGTAAATATTCTCACCATGGCCAATTCCAAGGTGACATCACCAATTGTGGAGCTGGGAAGAGACGCACTCAATAGGCTCTGGCTTGCCAGGACCGGCTAGTGAGCATTTTAAAATGTGGCTAATGTGACTGAGGAACTGAATTTTAAATTTTATTTAGTTTTTATTAATTGAAATTAAAGTAGCTACACATGGCTAACATATTAGACTGTGCAAGTCTAAAGAATACCAGAACACTTTGAAAATATATTGTCTCTCAAGGTGGTACCTCTAGATAAAGAGATGAGAGAATGAGAGATAAAGAGATAAGAGAAGATGAACAGCTTTTCCAGAGAGTCATGGGAGTCTTTGGAAGGAAAAAGGCTGCTTGTTTTCTTTCTCCTTAAAAAACAAAACAAAGAACAGAAAACAAACCGGGAAGACCAAAGCTGCTTTTGATGAAACATATCCTTTTTATTTATGCTACGGATATTGTCATATTATAAATATTAGTACAACAAGAAACCAGTTTATGAAGCATCTGGAAAACATTCATAGACCAAAGTTCCAAGGACTTTGTGAACTATTACTTAAGAGTTATGTATCCAAAATTTGTTTCAAATGTTAAATTTACATTAAGAATAACTTTTGCAAGAAATCTATTTGTACTTAGTAACTAAAAATTAAATTAATATTCCATTATATACAATTAATCTGGGAAGGAAGAGGGTCCTCGCTAGGTCTGAGCAGCAGTTTCCATCATTCAGAGGCAAGTCCACACTGAAATAGACCAGGTTATCCTTGGGAGATGAGGCTCCCACCGGCACAAATATGTTTTCATCTCTTCAAAAAGGGAGTCAGCTTTTAAAAATCAAGAGAATTCACTTGCAAAATCTGGATTTAAGACTTCTTTTGAAAAACCATAACCCCTGGCAAGTTGGGGCCTGCCATAAGAGGCCTCTCTCAGAGAAAACTAGTCTAGGAGAACTAGTCCATTCTCCCAATAGGACTCTACTTACAAAACACAAATTCAAAGATAAAGTTATTAAGAATTTCAAGAAAACATCTGCAGATCATTAAACTCAAGTGGTAGGAGGTCTTTTTGAGTACGAGGCCCCCGTGATACTATATTTGTCACGTATTCCCGCAGCCGGCCCTGCCTATCATTCAGAGTGCTGTTGAAAAGGCTGTACCATATCTCCTGTACACCAAAGGAGGGGCCACTAAGTCCCATTTGATGTTTAATTTACACAGACTGTTAAGGAGTTATTCAGAGTATGGTTTCCCCATTGGGTCTTGGTTAATATACACACACATATACATCCATACAAACATATACACATATACACAAAAACAGGCGTGTAAATAAATGACACCCAGGTCTTAAAATAACAAAGCAACCCTAACAAAACCTTAGATTATGTTTAGGAGGCCTCTGGCTGGCTTAGTTGGAAGAGTATATAACTTGACCTCAAGGTTGTGAGGTGGAGCCCCACATTAGGTATAGATATTACTTAAAAATGAAATCTTTTTATAAAATTATGTTTAGGACATACTGCTTCAGAAATTATGGAGGTAAATTACAGTTTTCAAAATATTTCAAAGATATCTAGAATTGGAAATATTTGCAATTAAAGGAGAAAGGCTTTAGTTGTTGGGAAAATGTTAATTATGTAAAACACCTCGTTATCATTCGATGTTGGATATTTGAGGTGTTGGAATATCTAACCACATTAATTATTAGTTATATAATTTATGCTATTTTATTTTTATTTATTTATTTTAAAAATATTTATTTATTTATTTATTTATTTATTTATTTATTTATTTATTTATTTATTTATTTATTTATTTGAGAGAGTGAGAAAGAGCATGAGCCAGGCTAGGGGCAGAGGGGGAAGGGGACTGAGCACAGAGCCAGACATGGGGCTGGATCCCAGGACCCTGAGATCATGACCTGGGCCAAAGTCAGACACTTAACCAGCTGAGCCACCCAGGTGCCCCTAATTTATGCTGTTTTAAAAATAGGCTTATTTTGAGGCACCTAGGCAACTCAGTTGGTTAAGCATCTGACTCCCGGCTCAGTCATGATTCCAGGGTCCTGAGATCCAGGCCCCTGGTGCATTGGGCTCCTTATTCAGCGGGGATGGGCTTCTCCTTCTCCTGCTGCCTACCCCCACCCCATTCATGCTCTCTCTCTCTCTCTCACCTTCTCTCACTCTCTCTCCAATAAATAAAATCTTTAAAAACGTAAGTTTATTTTAGTAGAAAAAAATTCCATACATAGCTATCTTGTATGTTTATATGATTTATCTCAGCTATTCATTCTGGAGACTATTTAAACCATCCCACCTACATAGCTAAAACCAAGGCACAATGACCATGAGGAAAACTACCTGAGTTAAAAATGCTGTACGGTGTTCTTGGCAGGAAATAACCAACATCTATAGTTTCAAATCCATTAAATAATAATGAATATCATAATGACAGACCTTTGTTTGTAGTTCCTCTTGTTCTTTCTTATACTTTTGGATTATTTCTTGGTGTTTTTCCTTTTCAATATCAAGTTCCAGTTTAGCTTCTTCCTTAAAAAGCAGAGCTTGCTCCTCAAATTCAACTAAATGTCGGGCTCTTTCCTTGGAAAGCTCAGCTTCAATCTAGGAAATAGAGTAAATTAAGCTTATTTTCAGACTTTAATTTTTTAAGATTAATTCTAATATTATTTTTTAATGAATCTAATTTTTAAATTCTAATAATTTAAAATAATCTGATTCAGAATTTAGGCCAGAAAAATTTGGGTCAAATATTTCAAGATCTTCTAAGACCTTCTAAGACTTGTAAAGTGAATAGAAAAGCTAGGGCAATATTATCATGACAGTTTTTTGAAATACTAAAATCTTAGTCTTCTGTATATTTGTATTATAAACTAAGTCCCTGTCAGAAATCCCATAAGAAAAAAAAAAAAGATTTTGATGTCTTTAGACTAAGTTCTGCTGAAAGCTCAGAGGGGATACACAGTACAAATGTTGATTTTTTTTAAATGGTCTTTCCTGATGGAGATCCCAGAAAGTTTTGGAGACACAGTTTATCATTTTAATGTGCTTGATTGAGGTCAAAAGGATGATTAAGAAAAACTCAGTCAAGTCAGTGATACCTGTATCTATGTTGGATCAGATAGAACCACAGCACTGGAGGGAACCTTAGAAATCCTCTAGTTCCATTTCTCAAGCTTCCATGAATTGTGGAAAGAATAAGCAAGGGCTTTGGATTCAGATGAAGTTGAGTTTAAATCCTGGCTCTAAAACCTGGCTCTGCCACATTCTAGCTGAATAATCTTAAATCGTGACTGTAACCTCTCCCGGTGGAGCTACAACTAGTTCCCTTGGGAGTTATTAGGAAGATAAACGGGACAAACTGTATGTATAAAGCTCTAGCACGAGCAGGGATTCATTAGTCAGTGGAGAATACGTCTATGCTCTGACGCTTGAGTCCCTACCACAGGATCTTCCCCAAGCCATTGCCTGCCCTGTGCCTCAACACCGCTAGAAACCATAATTCACTTCTTCCCAGCAAGCATTTCCATTTTCAGACAGTGCTAAGTATTAGGCAGTTTTTCCTTTAGTTCAGCCAACGTCTCTCTCCCTGTGGTTTTTAACCATTGGTTTTGGCTCTGCTTACTAGAACACGTCTTTGAGTACTGGAGTCATCCAGGTCTGGTTGTTCATCTAGTGAGATTAGAGAATCTCAGTGACAGACTGGCTCTAGATTTACATTGTGCAATGACTGTAAACGCCAGATAACTTGGGAGGAAAATGTCAGACTTGTGACTGTGACTCTGAGATTCAGACCACTACGAGAGGAGGAGAGAGGTTAATATGAATTTCTCAGGGAAACACTGAAACCAGCGTACCAGGAAACAGAAAATTTGCTAAGAAAGTTTACATAAAGCCCTTTAAATTAAATAAAATTCAGATAGAAGAATAGCCCCAGCGTGGGGTCAGTTGAGTTTATTGCACTAGTTATAGGACTAAGCGTTTCCTCTACGGCAAAACGATTATGTTTATACTCAATGCAAGTAGTTATTTTGGCTCTCTCAAAATAAATTTCTGGATCGTTTGAGAAAAAGGATGTTAAGGATCACTTAGGAACGTGATAGCCCTGCTGAAATGTGTTGTTCTCAGACTTCTAAAGGCAAGAGAAGCCTTGGGGGCACTCAGGAACAAAACAAAACAAAACCACCAGATGTTCTTCTGAATTCCAGGTACTTACATCTACCTGCCTCCTGCTAGCCAATACCACAGGTGTCTCTAATAAACTGAATCGGAAACCTAGATACAATCCCTTCCCCACCTGTTCCTTCCCCAGTCAGGACACAGAAACCACAATCCATGTAGTTATTCAGGTCAGCAACAGGGCATCATTTTTACCATTCACACCTAATCCAGCACAAGTTCTATTCAGTTTGCCTTCAACAGATGCCTTGAATCCATTCATTTATTTTCATTTCCACTCCTAACGCTCTAGTTCTGGCCGCCACCACCTTTTCACCGGCCTCTTTCCTTCCACCCCTGCTTCTCTCCAATCCATGGTACACACAGCAGGGTGTACAAAATATAAATTGGATTATTTTATTTCCTCTTAGTGGTTTCTCAATATGTTAGTATAAAATCAAAACTCCTAAACATGATCTTCCACTGGGCCACCACCAACCCACGTGACACTTTGTGTGAAGCAGAAAAGTGCCCCGTCCTTAGGTGAACATAGCCTCATGCTGAGGACAGCACCTGGTGGGCAGAGCGCTGGCTGGATTCCAGCTCCCTTCCCTCCCTTGGCCTGCACTGCGGTGTTGGGCACAAGGCAAACGCTGCCTACGGCAACCCCGGGCCCCTCCAACCTGACTTTCCCTTTCCCCATTTGATTAGCACACAGTGCTCCAACCACACTGGGATGGATCAGTTAAGAACACATGAAAGGAGGATATCAAAAGCAAAAACATTTGAAAAACTTGCAAGGTTCGACTTTAAGAGTTAATAGCCCACGACACTGTTAAAAAAAAATACAACTAAATAAAACAGTTTTCGAGAAGCTCAAGAGAAATATGTGCTGAGGTGTTAAAAAAAAAAATTCCTTGTGTAGTTAATTGGTAGAGCCAAGTAGTCATTTTAGGACAAAAAGACATCTCTCAAAATATGGACTGATTTCTTGAGTTAAGAGAATAAGAATGTATACAGACCAGTGGGACAGGCCAAACTGTAAATTAGACAACAGAAAGACTTTAAACAGACTCTTTTAAAAAGTTATTTAAATGTATTATGGGGAAGAATCTAGTTATGCAATCAGTAGAGTCCTTAGAAGGGGACGAAACACAAAGTATTCAGGGAAGAAAAGGTAGCTCACAGAGTCAATGAGTCAAGTAGCAAGGAGATCTCCTTGCCCCTACACTATTCCTTGGAGCGAGCTATTGTAGGTAAAGAGAGGGAGAAAAAGAAAAGAATAGAAGGAAGGTGGGAAAGAAAAAGCACGTAGGTAGAAGAGAGAAGAGTGATTTGCTGAGTTGAGTCTTAATTTGCACAACCAGAGAAAGGGAAGCAAAGTAAGGAGCTTCAGGTGGGATTTCTAAACATTTAAGGAAGCTGCGATGGATGCCAAGGGCCACCTGAACGTGTTGACACCGTAGCACAGAAACATGATACCCCTGGTTCCTTCGTAATCTGAATAGTTTGAGCAAAATAATGAGCCCACAAACCCGATGGTTTTGTTAAGCCGGTGTATTATTTGTCATTGAGGAGACGTACTCATGCCAATTACCATGTTTATGTCTTTTATAGGTTCGTACAAGCTCCGAGATGGGGGCACCTGGCTGTGGCTCAGGTGGTGATCCCGGGGCCTGGGCTGGAGCCCTGCGGGGGCTCAGTGGGGAGTCTGCTTCTCCCTCTCCCTCTCCCCCTCCCCCTCCCACTCCCCCTCCTGGCGCACTCTCGCTCATTTTCTCTCTCAAATAAATAACCAAAATCTTAAAAATAAATAAATAAAATCTCTTAGATTAAAAAAACCATAAAAAATAAATATCTTTGATGGCAGAATGTGTGCTTATGCAAAATAAATGAATTTGGTGATGGTGGTTACATAAAAGATAAATGACTTTATATAATAGCTAATAGTAATTTTAATAATCGTGGGGGAAATTCTGATTTCGAAAACCAAAGCATGAATAATATACAAGCTCAGGAGTTACACAAATTAAAATAAATGATCTCTGTACAGGTTTCAGGTTCTAATTTTTTTTTGTTTTTTATTTATCCATAGCTCCCGTTAGCTCAGACTCTCTCCTTGGTGAAGGTTTCCTGCTGACTCTAGAGCACTCGGAGTATGTTGTTTTTTGACTCCCTTTGAATTTGTATGGAAACACATAACTACTATTTTATAACACCCGCGTCTAATACTGATGTGTAAAATGCTGTCTGTTCACTATTTTCTGCATGAGATATTTGCGGTTGATTCTGTGATAATTTTCTGTCTATGGAGCCAAATACCATGTTGTAACATAATCACTCATTAGTGATGATCCCCATAAAAGCAAGGGAATTTCAGATGCTGAAGTAGAAATTAGGCCGGCTTGTGTATATTTGATGGGTACCTATATAATTTTTAAAAATATATCTCCTAAAAATAAATTATTTTGCTGTTTTCCAAAAATTAAAAGCAAACGCTGGTGGAAAACTAACACGCCAGATTATTTATGAATTAACTACTGAATAAAAATATTGTAAAAGTAGATGGTTATTTAAATACAAAAAATTTGCAGTAAAAAAAAACCAATGCTAAGGAATCAGAATATGTATTGAAGTCCTGCCAAGAACTGAGTGAACTCAGGATGAAAGGAGAGACTATTCACTTGGTGGTACCAATACAAGGTAGGGTGGCATAGTATTAACTCATTTAATTCTTACAATATATAATAATAATAATAATAATAATAATAATAATAATATATAATAATTCTTATTCACACTGTCTGGATCCTGAAATAGGACCAGAGAGGTTAAGTACCTTCTCCAAGATCATAGAGCTACTACGAGGTGGAGACGGTGTGCACACCTACCTGTTTCTGGTAGATCCCCGGCTCACATGTTTCATTCTTCCATCTAGCCTGTCTCCCCACACACCTACATAGCGTGGTGACTAAGGGGATGGACTTCGTATTTATTTAGTTTCAAAATGCTTGGGGATCTTTCCAGATAGCTTTTTGTCAATAAATTCTAATTCAATTCCACTGTGGTCAGAAAAAATACTTTGCATGTTTTGAATCCTTTTAAACTTATTGAGAGTTATTTATTTTCCAGAATATGATCTATTTTAGTAAATGTCCCATGTGCACTTGAGAAGAATGTTTATTCTGCTGTTAAATGGAGAATTTTATAAATATCAATTAGGTCATGTTCGTTAAAAGTGTTGTTTAATATATCTCTTTAAAATAAATTGTTATAGGGGCACCTGGGTGGCTCAGTGGTTGAGTGTCAGCCTTTGGCTCAGCTCAGGATCCCAGGGTCCTGGATTCAAGTCTTGCATCGGGCCCCTGCATGGAGCCTGCTTCTCCCTCTGCCTGTGTCTCTGCCTCTCTCTCTGTGTCTCTCATGAATAAATAAAATCCTTTAAA